AAGGCAGACAGATAACATAGAGAAATGTCAAATTTTGAAAGTTAAAATTTGTTAAAATACAAAGTGCCTGAGAGCAGGGGGATTGCACTGAGGAGTGCTGTAAAATGCCGTCAATAAAAGATCCCTCGAACACTGGCAATGCAGGCTCAGATTTAAGAACCCTTGGTGGGGACCTGCTTTTCCTTAACTATAACAAAGATAATCTTGAGATTCATATGACAGACTCTGAATACCAGACACTTATCTGCTCCTGCTGCAGGCAAATTAAGGAGAAAGCCCCCCGGGGTAGGTCTCTACAGCAGCAAGCGTTTCAGGGCAGTGAGCAGGTGTTTTGCCCTGCCAGGTGCCCCTAGAAAGAGGGTGCACCTATTCCTGCTTGAGAAATCCTGACAGAATTGTATGGGACAGCCCAAAGTTCAGAGCAGTAAAAAGAGATTTAGGTGAGGGAATAAAGCAAAAGTAGCAGTGGTGTGAGTCCTGTTAATCCATGGGGGAGACAAAAGAAAACAGATAGAGAAGAGCAGGGCTTCAGAGAGTGGAAAATTAGTAATAGACAAGTTTGATATTGCTGAGAGTCCTAAAAGTTTTTCTAGCTTCAGCAGTCACACACAAAGCAAAGGCTACCATCCTAGAGTCAGGAATGTGCTTCCTGAGAGAAGAAAAAAAAGTGTTAAATTAGCTTTTCATATTGTTGAGAACAGACAAAATGGTTCTTTTCTGCTATGGAAGCATTCAAAACCATTAAAAGCTGACAAGGCCTGGGGTTTGTAAGGCTGTAAATAGCAGCATCTATATTTAATCAAAGATGATGAAGGCTTCAGTGAATTTCTGTCCTGTAAGCTCAGCATCAGCTGCGTGACAAAAGCAAAGAACGCAATGGCAAAGAACGTGACTACGGGAGTTTCAAAATGCAGAAAAAGGGACAACTACTACAAATTCCCGGCACGTGGTTGCTGGCCGGCACTCTTTATTTCTTAAAGAGGCTGCAGATTGTTCAGGTGGCTGACATGTACTGCTTGATATGTTCGTTCCCGAAAGGATTGCAGCACCAAAGCAAGCTACCACATGAGGGGACATTCTCTCCTTGAAATGTCCATGACATTATAATATATATATATATATATATATATATATATATATAATGTATATTATATATGTATAAAATGGCTGTCGGATAGTGAATTATTTGCTGCTTTGCTTCTTTGTGACACAGATTATTCTTTTTTTGGAGATGATTAAAAACAAAATCTGTTTGAGTTTCCTTTCAAAGCATTTAATCTAAAACCACCTTGTGACTTTGACAGTAAGTTCATTTTTGATCGAATTCCGGAGTCCCTTCAGAATCTCCAGTTCTGAAGAACTGAAATAAAGGCATTTTCCCTTCTCACCCTCTTTGCTCTGTTGAGCTCCAGGAGATCAGGGGGTGAGTTTTTATTGTTAACCACTTGAAAATAAAATTATTATGTGCAGGTGTCTTTGGATAGACACTGTAAATGATGGATTTCAGCAAAAGCAAGAACATGTCCTGGAAGAGGGGTAAAGCTGTCCCAGGAAGAAAACAGATTTGCATGAGGACACAAGAAGGGAGGAAGTGTCACAAGAGTCCTTCTTGGAAGAACCAAACTCTCCTGATGGGATAAAAGCCCACCTGAATTAATTCACGGACAATTATATTTTGAATTAAACTCACATTCGCACCCAGTCTTTTGCTTTGATCTCCCTGAGATGCACAAACATCAGGGCTCATTTGGTCCCTGAGCTAGAATTGATAATGTTTTCTCATAATGAAGGTAAACCAAACTACCCAGGGGCAAAAAGGGAGCAGACCAAGAAAATAGAAGTAGGTCCTTAGGTGAGACCTATAGTCCAGGCTAAGGGGAGGTGTAAGGTAAGAGAAGAAGGGCATTTTGCAATCACTTAGTAGAGTCAGGTCAGAGCACAGAGTGGGAAAAGCACAGAGAGCTTGGTAAAAACGCATGAAGAACTAGATGTTTAGATGCTTTAAATCACAACTTTTTTTGACCCAAGGTCTAGTGTATACCTGTTTGGATTTGCAGAGCAGGCAGCACCTTCTCTGCATGCTCTCTTTCTGACTGTGATCAGAACACATGGCAATCACAGAGGTTAAAAAAAAAAGAAACAAAAAAAATCCTCTAAAAGTAAACAACACTTTCCAAAGTCCAGCTCTTTTTTCCAGCCATCCCCAACAGAACAACAGCAGCAACCATAACAGAAAAGCTTTCTAGATGCCCCTGGGCTCTCTTACTGTCTTTTACTGAAAAGTCAGTGTGAAAATGGAAATCAGGGCTGTAAGCCAGGGGGAGAAATTGTTCAGGTCACAAGGGGTTTTAGGGAAGATTAAAGGTTGAAACTGTCATATGGAAAATGTAAGTGGAATGTCATGGGAAGCTGTGAGATTGCAGAGGGGTCTCCCCCAAGGGGGCTGTAAACCCTGTCATTTGAAATCAGGTGAGGAAAAACCTCTAAGCATCTGCCATAAATAATGGCCTCTCATTTTTATCAGGCACTGGGACAAGACGGGGCTCTCCCATCACTCGTTTCCAAGAAGCTCTTAAGGTAATATGACCTGGTCCAGCAGACTGTGGCAACAGCCTTCCAGGATGTCCATTGATCATGGACATGTAGCTCCACCCTGTCACCTTTCATTGCCACTTCTTTTGGGAAGTGATTCAGATCCACCGAGGGAACCAAGTGTTATCATGACTGTATTTGAGCCTGAACTGAATTCTCTGCTAAACCCTTTGAATAGAGACGATAACCCCACATTTTTGTTTCAGAAGTAGGATGAGTCTGATAAGAAGTGATCAGGGTGTTTCTGGCTGGGACAAGTGTAGCACATGGTGGGAGATCTGATGGACCAGTTCACTCTGAGGCAGTACATATGGCAGTCATATGCCAGCAGTGAGAAACTGGATTCCCTTTTTTTTTTTTCCCCAGCCTCTTGCTCAAGGAAAAGCACAGACTATTACTCTGAAGTTAGGATAACACTATGACTACATTTCTATACTCAGGACTTGCTAGTGTGTGATCAGCTTCCTTAGATGACCTGTCCCTCAAGCAAAGCAATCCTATATATCTGAAGGGCTGTGGAGTTTAGGATGCCCCAAAGACTGGTGTGCCCAATCTGGCATTTTCTGGAAAAATCAGAGGATAAAACAAAGTGAAAGTAACGTCTTAAGGACCAACACAGCCATGAAAGAAGTGGACTTTATTACTTCTTTCTTGAAAGATAGGTAGGGGGTGCAGAGTAAGGGAAAGATACCACAATTAGATGAGATATGAGGAAAACCTAAAGACTAGAAGGTGTTGGGGTATAATAAGCTGCCAATGCCAGAAACAGCCCCACTGCATGTTAATTTGCTCTGGCTGCACCTGAGAATAAAATATGAAATTGGTGAAAAACATGGCAGTACTATTAAGTTTCCCTAGGATTTGATGAGCTGCATATGGAAGAAAGTGCTACACATATCCTGAAACCTAGATTTGCTTTCCAGTGGGAAATTTTGAAATTTCAGAAACAAACAAGAGAGCCCAAGCAAAATTCTTCTGCATCAGTACAAACCCTCCAAATATCAAATCTGCTAGCATAAAAGGAATCTTAAGACTTTGATTTTTCAATATGAAGTTAATTAAGCTCTCCTTCTCACCTCCCTCATCCAAAACAAGGCTTCTAGAGGACTTCAGAGGCATGAAACATTCATTCATATTCTGGGCAGCTGTAATGATGTGTAGGAATCCTGGGTGTGGCATTGTCAGACAGAGATGGGAGTGGATAGAAAGTAGGAAATAACTCTGGAAAACTGCTCAGTTTCGATTAAAAGTCTGGTGAAATTAAGACACTCCATATCCTGACCAAGGAAAATGCTCAGGTGATCATCTCAGAATCCTCCTCCAGGGTACACAAATATTCCCACAGGATAAGCTGTTGCAATGCAGGTGCTGGCTTGCATCCCTGGTCTATTGTGCAAAGAGCCATGGCCCTTTAGCTTTAGGTGACTGTGATGCCTGAGTCTGTTTCCTCGTGATCACTACATAGGGCCAATTCACATCCCAAAAACTGCACTAATGTGTGGACTGCACCTAACTTAGAAACCTTAGTGTGACCTCTTATTCTTCGTAAAAGCCAGCCCAAGGTCCTTGATTCAGGTGTGTGCAGCTACAATGCAGTCATCTACAGTTGCAGGAGGTGAACACCAGAACTGATTTGTGTTGATTTTAATCAGTTAGATGCTTAAGCTCTTCGTTGGAGCTGAAGTTTAGCCCTGTATCTGACTTGACTGTCCTTCAGATGACAGATAAGATGACAGGGATGAAGATGATATAGAGTCCAGATCTAAGCAGGTATGCAAAAAAGGTCTTGTGTAAGACCTATAAAAAGAAGGACACAATATATCTGAGTTCTGCTGAGCAGTTGTGGCCTGAAGAAATGAAACTCATACAGGGTAGGAGTTAACTTTTCCCTTGCGATGATCAGCTACTTTGTAGCTTATAGGTCTTCCAAACCTGAAGTACTCGGAAGGCTGGTACCATCCAGACAAGCAGAAAGCTGTGATCCACTATGTAACCAACAGTTAATGGCTACGGGAAGGCATTAGACCTGACAGCTGCAGTCTGGCTGAGGGATTTCTGAAGTAAGCAATCTATTCAGAATTGTTAACCCACCTGCACTCCCGTATGCACAGGACAGCCTGCCCAGCAGACTACTGGGTCACAGTTTGATTTTCTCTTGGACCTGTCATGAATGACCACCCTTACAAATTATATTCCTGGGAAGAAGACCACATTGTAATGGCTTTGTTCAGTAGCTTCCCCTGTGAGTGTGTAGTTTGTGCTGTGGATGCAAGACAGAAGATGGTGCAACCAGTACTTCCCAACAGTGTTTCCTGTGAAAGTCAGTGGAGGTATTAGTAGAAGCAGGATTGGACCCTGAATATGGAGGGGAGAAAAAAGCACCATATGCTGGAAGGCAATGAGTATTATGTAAATAATAAGGCATAGAGACATTTTGTAAGTGGGCAGACCGATCCTATTATATATCTACAATTAAACTAAACTGTGGGGTCATATCATCCTATTAAGGGTAGCAGATTAAACTCAGGCTGTCTCTTTTTGTTATTGTTTCTGATGGGGTTTTGGAGCTTTCTTAATTCAGGTCAAAAAATGAGAGGCTTCCTCATAAGCATTTTAATTAACCAGCTGAAGAATTCTCTTGCCCCCAGAGACTCACGGTACCAAATCCAGAGCTCAGACTGTCATATTTCAGCTCAAACTGTGTTTGTGCCCTTTTATTCAAGTCAAAAAACAGATAGCAAATCAAATCCACCCCCCTCCCTCATTAACTGCTTGGGAAAAAAAAAAAAGTATCTTGAAAGTTTGATTTTTGACCTAAACATGTTCTTTGCAACCTCCAGTGCATGAGGACCAGGATGTATGAGGAAAGCGGCCCAAACCTGCAGAGAAAAGCCCTTTTGGCTGGATCTTGGGGCTATGCACACTTTATCACAGGCATCTTTCCTTCCCCAAGACATCACCAGTGCAATAGGGTCATCCAGTGTTGTCTCACAGCTGAGTAAAACCCCAGTCTTTTCGCAGGGCTGCTTTGTGCACCGTCCCCCTGGGGAGAGGTGCTCAGTTGAATGGCTGGGTTTCTACAGAGTGTGCTGCTCCTCAGGCAGATGAAGAGCTCCTTCCTGGTCTTTGGTGACTCTTGCCCACATTCTCCAGGTGGCAGCAACTCTTGGTAGCAGTCCTGCAGCATGCTGACCTTGCACCACAGCCAGCCATCGTCCCATCAGGTTTGTTCGAGGAGAGGAATCGCACACATCCGAAATGGATGTGAGGAAGGAAGGCATGCCCCCAAACTCCCCCACTCCCCCATGTCCTCCTCTATGTGGAGCTGGCACAGATCCTGCTCCTTTCCAGCTTGTGGGGTAGTGGCGAGCCGTAAGGGGGGAGGACATTGAAGACCAAGTACGGTTCTGGGAAGGGCAGCAGCTCCATGTGGTGGGGAGAGAAAGAGAGCATGCTGGGCAGCCAGGCAGTTGTCAGCTGTCCTTGCAGTGGTGAGTAGTATCCCGTAGCAGGAAAGGAAGCAGAGAGCTTTCTTGGCATTAAGCTAGGAGCCTTTCAAGAATAAAAATGTAGTTTCAGGTGAATCAATATGGACTTTTATTTAGATAAAATTTACAATCAACCTTATTTGTTTCCCTGGTGTTCAGTAATTAAGTAGAAAAGTTTAGAAGAATAGACTTCCTAAAACCTGGTGGTGTGTTGTCACTCAGAGTGCAAGGCAAAATGCACTTTTTTCTAGCCGTGAAAAACCTCTTGTCAGGAAAAGAGCCTGTGTGCCAGCCAGATAATATTAATTGTCCTGGACATGGCACGGGTCAAGGGCAAAAAGTGGTAGTCAGCCTAACAAGGCGGGATGTTGTAAAGAGATACTGTCTGTAAAGAAACATGGCTTTGTGGCCTCAAATGTCTCATTTTCTCCTGTTCAGGAAATTTCTGATGGTAAAGACATTTTGAATTAGAGTATGATTTATGGAGAAGTGATTTAGAAGCAAAATGGGGAAGGACCATCCTGCAAGAGACATCTCACAGCATATTTGCAAAACTGGTTTAGTATTATGAAGAAATGTGTTATTTGACCAGATTTGCTGCGATTTCTTGTCATCCCATTGCCATTTTTGTCTTTTCCAGTCCTCCTTCTCTGGGATAGTCCCATGTGAATTGATTACCTGGTGAAGAATAGCTGTCTCTCCCTCAGTGGCTTTATACCTAGTGTTCGATACTTACTATGAAATCTGACTTGGGAGCAGGAATGAAGTCAACTTCTGTCAGATGCTGGAGGCCACCAAAGTTGCCAAATTTTTCATGTTTCCTCCACTTTGCTCGCTGATTCTGGAACCAGATCTGGATAGATGTAAGAAAGAAAATGCACAGAAATTAACGGAATATAAAGGAGAAACTGCTCACAGCCAACTACTTTCCCTACTCTCTGAGTATCAGAAAACACTGACATCCAGCTCAGCAGAACCAGGGGTTGAATCTAAAGGAATGCAGTGGGTTTGACGCAGCACCTTTCACACTCTGCATAGCATGTGGGATCTCTGGACTATCATGACAGACTCTTTTCTACCACAGCTAGAATCACCTTAACCAAAGAAAGATAGTGTTGCAGCGCTTACAGGGCTCTCCTGGGAAAACAGATCCTTCTGTGGCCAAAGCTATACAGCAGTCAAGGCACATGGCATTCTGTTTTCCTTGTTTTCCCTAGGAGGTGTGATATGTTGCATGATAGGGCTATTTTGCCCTGTTTCCACATGAACAGACTGAGAAAAGATCTACCTAGATGCTTTGCTGGGCTGCAATAAAAATGTGCCACCAGCGGAGAGGTAGTAACAGGATTCTTCCTATATTTAACTGGTAACATTTTGAAATTCATATGAGAGAACTAAGCAAAAGACCCAAGGGGATCACTAAACAATCTGAGTATGTTGTCTGCCATCTCTTTTGCCTGAAAAACAGACAAATAATTTTCTCAGGGGAGTTTCTTTCATCTATTAGCTGATTTGACCAGTCTGACTTCTGGCAGAGACATATGTGTGTTTACTGTGAAGTGGCAGTAATGCCCCTTTCTGCATTGTTCTGAAAAGTTGAATCCCACTTCCGCTGTAGTTTCTATCTGGCTGAGGGACTGGCTGTTTGAATGTAAGCAAGTGGTTCACATGAACACAAAGTGTCAGTGATCAAAGTCAGATGCAACTGGATATAAAGATGTGTGTATTTTAAACCAAATAATGAGCAGCTCAATTATTTCTGCATCTCTTGCCCAGGAAGTAATGGGAATGTCAGGAGCCCTCTGCTGCATTGTTGATAGTTAGCAATACCTGAGGTCACTGAAATGACAGTTTTATTTATCTGGTTTTGCATGTGTTTGAGAACTGCTATATTAACTCCTCCATTCTCTTTCTACCATGCAGGAGTTATGTGCTGGAATAGCACCATTTAACACTGATAAAGTGATTGAGGGAAATGGGGGGCTGAAGACAGCATTCAGCCTCTGAAGTGCTCCTTCTAAAGTCTGCACACAGGGTAAAGTTCTCACTTCATGGACTTCCGTTTTTTTTTTAATAAAGGCAAAGCTTTCAGTAATTCTCAGACCAAACTACTCTTTTCTGCCCAACCAGCTCTGCAACACACTTACCCCTAAAATGGTTTCGAAATGCCCACTGTTCCAGCGTTCCTGAGCTATGGCACTGAGGTAGAGCACAATATTCCCATGTGTATTCACAAAAGTCATACCAGGGGCAGGTGCCTCCTTAATCCTGACAGAGATTTCACAAAAGACTCATTTACCCTCCAAGTGGTCAGCAGGTTGTCCAAGGAAACAAGGACTAAAGTAGAGTGCAGAGGGAGGGTGGTGTTCCCCATGTTGTAGGGATAGCCTCCATTTGTTTTACTAATTCTGTAGTTCAAATTCACATTTGTGTCAGTAAGTGGTTCCTATGACTTACCAACTTTGAAATGTCTCCAGGGGACACCTGTTGCAGGCCTAGTTTTTTGTCTACTAGCACATGCCATTTGATCTACTCTGTTCTCTTAATCCAAGTAGGTTGTAGGACCAAGGCAAGGTCTTTACAGTGTCATGTCATCAATGACATCAGTTAGCTTTATAATGCAAATACACAGAATCATAGAACCATAAATTTGTTTGAATTGGAAGGGACCTTCTAAAGATGATCTTTAGTTACAACCTCTCTGCTGTGGGCAGGGACATCTTGCACTAGGCCAGGTTTCTAAAAGCCCCATCCAACCTGACTTTGAACACTTCCAGTGATGGGACACCCACAGCTTCTCCGGGCAACCCATTCCAGTGTCTCGCCAATCTCACCATAAAGAATTTCTTCCTTACACACAAACTTAATCTACCTTCTTTCAGTTTAAAATTGTCACTAATAATCTCATCATAAAAGGATGAGTTTGGCAGTATCTTTTTTCCATAAGCCAGTGTTGATAAGCATTAGATGTTACCCTTTCTTTAAGTCTTCATCAACAGAGACTCATATCATCTTTCTTACAGTTTTGCAAAAAAATCAGTGTTTGGCTGACAGGTTGTCCTGTTTACCCTTTAAGTACTGATGCAACATTATATTTCTTCAAGGCCCTTGGAATGCCCCTTGTGCTCCAGGACTGATTTAATATCAACACTGATGATCCAAAGTGCTTCTCAAGCAGCTTCTTAAGAACTACTGGAGGTAAGTCACTTAGATGTCTGGATTTAAAAATATCTCTCTGTAGCAGCTGCTGTTCAACATTGTCCTTACAGAAAGTGTTACCACCTTACCTGACATATTTCCAAGGATAGAGCAGAAATTATGACTGAACATCTTTC